CTCAGTATAAATAGGACGTTAAATTCTTATCACACATAAAAAGTCACACTCAATATTAATATGTGGTTATATTCTAATCATGTATTTTAAGACATTCTCAGGATAAATATGAAGTTGCGCATGCACCAGTTAATGAAAGTTTGTAGTGTGTGTATGTATATGTGTGTGTGCATGTGTGTATATATGTTTGTGTGTGTGAGTGACTGTTTTGTTTATTCTCCATGTTTCTCTTCCATTCAACAGCAATGATTTGACATCAGAGGTAAACAATTTAATTGCAGTTTTAGTTTTTGTCTCCGTTAATTTATTCGAATTTACTAGTGCAATAAAAACTCCCCTCGCCATTTCTATTTAAATTCTCCCAACTCGATATCTCGACCAGTCTCCCCACCCCTTCCCCCCCCCCCCCCCCCCCTTTCCCATCTGTAATTACATTACACCACATACAAGTGTGTGACTGCACAACTCAGAGTAAGCTTTCATCAAGAGATTTAGTTTTTTTTTTTTTTTTTATATATAGAACAATTTCTTTGATCCTCACATGTTTCACCACATAGTTTTCCCCCTGGTCTAGCGGCTAGACACTCGCCTACGGAGTGGAAGGTCGTAGGTTCGGTTCCTGACGGAGGCCGGAATTTTTTTTTTTTTTTTTTTAAATTAACTTGGCTCCCAGGTCCACCTAGCCTTGAGTGGCTACCAGGTCCACCTAGCCTTGAGTGGCTACCAGGTCCACCTAGCCTTGAGTGGCTACCAGGTCCACCTAGCCTTGAGTGGCTACCAGGTCCACCTAGCCTTGAGTGGCTACCAGGTCCACCTAGCCTTGAGTGGCTACCAGGTCCACCTAGCCTTGAGTGGCTACCAGGTACAATCTTGGGAAGCAATGGCGGCTGGCGTGATATTAACCAAGTACCGTTTGGTCTATAAAGTATAGGTCTACCCCAACATACCCAATACGCCTGAAAGGCGTGAATAAGGTTTTGTTACTTTTACTTGACATATCCCTCTGATGACAGGCAATTAGGCTCAGTCTGCTCATTTTCTTTTTTTGTTTCTGGTACATTTATACAATCACAACTTTACGTAAATAATATCTTGCAAATGAAGAGTTGGAGTAACAAAGATTCAGGCAAACAAAGACGGGGTACCACCTTTTATATTTTCGTACTCTTCTTCTTGGAGCTAACTGGCTGCAAACTTTAGAGGAAAGTTCAGTAATTCGTGAGTTAAAAAAAAAAAAAAGAGGAAACGTCCCTTCTCCACACCTTAAGTCGTATCGGGCATATAAGGCTAAACCCATATTTTTATAGACAATCGGTACAAGATGGGTGATTTTGTCGCCTTTACTTCTAGGGACTGCACCCGGTACCCAATAAGGACTGGGTAGACCTGGTTGTCAAGGTCATTTAAAAAAAAAAAAAAGTCCGGCTCAGTCAGAAAGCGAACCCACGACCTTCCGGATCGCACGCGAACGGCTGGCCGCTATGCTACTACGACTCCCTTAGTAGTTCGGCCTGCCCCATAACTTGAGATGTGCGTGCTTACAGACGTTTTCACTGATATGGCTGCCTTGTATGCAATCTGTTGGTTCCCCGCTCTCCAACTTCAACGGAAAATATTCCTAATTAGTCACCTTCTAGAGCATGCTGTTAGGGGACAATGGGTCTATTCTTTTCCCGTCAAATTGGGGCCTGATATTGTATATATTATATACGTATACTGTTTGTTTGTTTGTTTTAGTATACAGAAGCCATGAGTTGTTAGCCCTTAGGCTCGGTATTATGGATATCGCAACCTTTCGGCCTTGATTCCATTGTAAATACCGTAAATCTGGTAGAAATGTGGCTTTTCTGCCTACCCCCGGGAGTGAACCCGGACCACAAGGAGTTCGTCACCCGGTCTCCGCGCAATCCGGTTTAGCCAACTACGCTAGAGAGCCGTGCATATATATGTATATAGGAAGAATATCTGTCAGAATACCTGTCAGAATACATGTCAGAATATCTGTCAAAATATCTGTCAGAATATCTTACTCATCTTGGATATTGTACTCAGTCAATCAGGCGTCGCATCGACGTTTAAGGATGACTGCGATAGATCTCCAACACATTCAGTGTCTTGTCTTTGTAGTACACTCTTGTAGTACACTCTTGTAGTACACTCTTGTAGTACACTCTTGTAGTACACTCTCTCAGTTTATCTTTTTTTTTAGCCTTCCGTGTGGATCACAGTGTGTGTGAGAGAGAGAGAGAGAGAGAGAGAGAGAGAGAGAGAGAGAGAGAACGAACGAACGAACTTTATTTTCAAAGGGTCACAAATTAGGCACACAGGCCCGTCTTACATTCGGCCCTTCCAAACACCCGTATTTCACACTGCCTCTGTATTTTATAAATAACTAGCTGTACCCGGCCACGCGTTGCTGTGGCATAGTTTGGCTAAATGGAAATGAAAGAAAATAGAAATCGCACCTGTCTAATACAATCATTGTCTGCTCAGATATAGAGATAGTCTTTGATCCCCACCCCACCACCTGCCCCCACCCCCAGCTAAATCCACCTACTGCCCTCCCCCTTATCAAATGTATGTCATTACCCCCCCCCCCCTCCCCTCTTCCACCGACTACTGCTTTCTCCCTCTTCGAAATATTTGAAAATCATTACCTGGCGATATTTTTTTGTTGCTGTAACTGACATTGACATCCCTGTCCATCTGGACTAAAATCGGGAGCAGGAATTGTAATAGGTAGTGAATGGGGCTAGTGTAATATTTACCACACCATCCTTCAAGTACCAGTACAACTATTAAAATAATGTCACTGCTATCTGTGTTACCATCGGAGTAGACAGAGAGTCGTGAGCCAGAAGATTTGGTTCCGCATGGCTAGTGCTGTCGCCACAGACTGGTCAGGTTAGGATGTATAATTTCACTTGCCGACAGAAGAACGCCATAACCTTACCGGCGGTCTTCACATGAGAGCACTATGGTGTAACAGCCCAACCACAACTATTACTACTGCTGCTACTTTAAGTGGGTAAAGCAGTTACTGTGACTTAAAGCTCTCTCAGTAAATAGTTTGCCCCCCCCCCCCCCCCCAAAAAAAAAAAATTCACCGACAACTCTTTCCCTCATTGAAGTAGTTGGGAGGGGAAAAAAACACTTGAATAGCAAATGAACACAGCAACAACAAAAAAAAAACCATAATTAGGAAATGAACGCCATGGTAAACAGCACAGCTTAAAATTCCAACGCAGATGAAATAACTAAATCTAAATGAAAATAAATGAAAATCTATGAAATTTCAGCGTAACCATGCAATCGGAAAGTTTAACAATGCAATCATAAGTATGCGAAATGGTCAAATTTAATTATCAAATGGTTTACCTATTTACTTGTCTATTTTTTTTTAAGGCAACATGGCTAGTACTGTCACCACGACAGAGCAGATGAGGATATTATTTTAGTCCGGAGTAAAAAAAAATTAACTACTGCGGATTCGAACTCAGGTCTCCCGCACAGGAACCAGTGTTCTAACCATTCGAACAAGCAGCCACTTAATCGGATAAAGGAAAAGAGAACTTAACAGTTAGAGATGTGTGTACCTACTTCTGTGTCCTGATTAAAACACAATTCAAAACCGCAGGCAATTGTTTTCTTGTAGACAGATACTCCAGATATATTAATGAAACGGCACAACAATAGAAATCGCACGTGTCTAACACGGTTAATGAAGTTAATGTCGCAGTCAATGTCTGCGCCGACGTCGAGATAGTCCTTGATTCCCCCCCCCCCCCACACCCCCCCACCCCCCCATCGAAGGTTGTTTGAAAAAAAATATATATAAATCGTGTTTAATATGGTTATTGTGGCAAATATAGAGATAGTCTTGTTTGCTGTACCTAGACCTACTCTATGTATTAAAGAAGGCGTTGGCTGCACGTAACTCGCCGGCGAATGGCGGAAGCCTTGCGTTTTGACTTCGGCGGCGCATACGCAATTACTAACGTCGCTATAATTAGAAATCACTAAAGTTATAAATATTAGTTGCGTATAATATTGCATAAATTGTGGTCACCTATCTCTTACAGTGACAGGTTGAATTTCAAACCACGACAGTTCAAAATCCGGTATCACAACAAACATATACTGAAAATTTCAACTAAATCGGTTCAGTAGTTTCCGAGTCTATAGGGGTGAAACAAACACACAAACATTGATTTTTATATATATAGATAGATCTTGTTATATTTATATGATAATATGCATATTATGAATATCAAAAGAGAGAAGGAAAAAAAGCACAAAAGCATGGGTGGTAAAATGTATGCACACACACACACACCCTCTCACTTAAACACACCCATTCACCCAAATACATAGCTACATACCCACACAGACACGCACATTCCACACACAAACAAACATACAGATATAAACACACAGACACACCTATAGAAACAAATGCAGACACACACACACACAAACAGACATACGCGCACACACCCAATCACACACGCCGACACACACACACACAGATACACACATGCGACACACACACACACACAAACCGGCATACACACACGCAGACATAGACAGACACATATGCACAAACACATGCAGACACAAACACACACAGATACACTCGGAGACACACAAACACACACACACCATCGCAGACACAGACACACACACACACACACACACGCTGATGCTCACGCAGACACACACACACACAACCACAGACACACACGCGCGGAAGCATACGCAGGCATTCATACACACAGGCACAGGCACAGATACACGCAGACACACACCAACAGACAAACAAACACATACGCAGACATACATATACACAGACACACAGTGGGGATTGGGGGGGGGGGGGGGGGCGGAGACAAGACCTACAGGACAGGTGAAGGATAAGATGGCTGGCGATAGAGAAAAAAAAACTTTCATTTATATATATTTATTGTTTCTATTTATGGAATATTAAATTTACAACTTACATTGCAGAGATGATCAGGGCCGTTGCATTTACACATGACCCCGGCAATCGCGAATTCCTGCTCGTTTGGGACCCATCTGCCGTTGACAATGCACCCACTCGATTGCTGTCCAAAATGCAAACACATCACATAGATATTTATCCTTTATCTGTCTGAACGTCTGTCTGCCTCTGCCTATCTGCTTCTCTCGCCTTTTAATATGTGTCTTTTGGCGTGTGTCTGTGCATTTTGTGCAAGTATGTGTTCACGCCACACACACAAAAAATGAAAAATTCTCCACTTTACAACTGAAGGAATCTGAAATTCTGGTGTAATTTTTATTCTAACTTTTTGTGTAATTGTTTCTGCTGCTTGGACCTGGTTGAGGCCGCATCCGGTTAGTCAGCTACTTAAAAATACATCCAATGAACTAAACTATTTGCCTTGTCCTTCGGGTGTTTCCGAAATCTGACAATTAAAAAAAAAATTCTGATTCCGTCAATACTTGATCCCACGACGTTCCGATTCACAAGGAAGCGTTCATTCGCTACACTACGGCAGCTTCCGTACTCCGTCGTTTTTTGTTCCCCCCCCCCCACCCTTTGTTCCCCCCCCCCCCTCCCTTTTCGCCAACTTGGCTTTTTTTTTTTTTAAACGGATATGTGCCCCCAAAACTGTGTTATATTGCACATGGTTTACTGGAGTTTTCCTGATTGATTCTCATTTTAAGATGGCAAGTCAACTTGGTCGGCCTCTGTGGCCTAAGCGTTGCGAACGCGCTTCATAATGCCGGGGTGAAGAGTTTAATCCCAGCTGAGGACATGTGCATTGCGCTGGTGTCGACAGCGGTAGCGAGAAGCCCACAGTTCAGGGAGCAATGGCAAACTACTGGACGTTAACTTACCTAGAAAAACCACAACATTAAAAAAATTCTGAATTTGGTTTTGCAAAGTCCCGTAAAGAATACACAGCTAACTTTAAGTCAAATTGAACAATATAGACGTAGAACAGACTGATATTTCGTTGGACCATCGGTTATCAGTACTCGAGCTGTCGCGTACAGCTAGACAGTACATACTGATATTGCCAGTCTAACAGACAATCTTATATCATAATGAGCCGGCTCGTAATAACGGCTACACGCTTGCTTGTAGATTCAAAGGTCGTGGGCTCAAATGAGAACTGAACTAGTCTTTTCTTTTTCCAAAAAAAGAAATATTAAAAAAAAATTGACCTTGGCTTTCTGGTCGACCCCGCCTTAAATGAGTAGCAAGTGGAGTCATGGGAAGTAAAATCTGTCAATGTAATGTTGACTACACACGTAAGGAGTACTGATTGGTCTAAGATATGTTTGTTTGTTTTAGTATCAAGAAGCCATTAGTTGTTAACCCTTAGGCTCGGTATTATGGATATCGCAAAGTTTCGGCCTTAATTCCATTTTAAATATGGTAAATCTTGGATAAAATGTGGCTTTTCTCCCTACCCCCGGGAGCGAACCCGGACCACAAGGAGTTCGTCATCCGCTCATAGCGCAATCCACTTTAGCCAACTACGCTAGAGAGCCGGGCTGGTCTAAGATATAGAGGTCTAGTTAAACATACCCAGTCCACGTGAAGGTTCACAAAGGGTCCGTTACTTCAACTTGGGTGGTGGGGGGGGGGGGGCGATAGAGTTTCTGAGACGTTCAGGAGTTTCAAGATAATATCATACCTGTCTCTGTCTTGTTTGTAATCTCCGTGGAAGAGCTAATTCATAACCGCCTGTGGAATCTTGGTCATCACCAATAACAATTACGTCCGATTCCTGGAATAAGTATGTACAAGATGTAATCACGGACAGGGAATGAGACATGAAGAGGTAATCTCTTTAATGGATTTTATTACTCATATACCTGCAAAATGGGCGCTGAAACCTGTGTGCTCCGTCCACAACCTCCTAAAATAAAAGTAAAGTGGGTAAACTTCCCCCACCCCCATCACCCCCCCCCCCACAATCACCCCACCTCCATCATCATCACCCCCCCCCCCTCTACCACCATCACCCCACCCCCACCACCATCACCCCACCCCCTATCTATGTGTAGAATCTGTATTTCTCTATTGTTCTTTATTCAGATGACAATAATTTGTGTACACTATGATATTTATTTGCCATCTCTAACATTATTATTATTTTAAATTGTGCAGTGAAACAAGGTTAAACCCTTTTAAGTACCCGGTCCACCCAAAAAATATAATGGGATATAGGCCCTTCCTTCAAAGGGCTCTTTGCGGCGGCGCCTCTGCTAGACCCTGTCTTGTTTTAGATTCCACACAATCTGAATGTTGAACGTTGATTTAGGACTGGTCATTGTCTTGTCTTGTCTTGTCCACAATTGCCTCACAGCGTAGTGGGAAGTCGCAGTTTTCTATCCTGGGCCAGGTGTGTTGCACGTGTTGTTGTTAGTCCGTGTTGCCTTAGGATCTCTGATATATTGTCTATCCATCGTACTCTCGGTCTGCCTCTTGCTCTAGGGCAGTAGTGCTGTTCGTTAAAGGTCATTAAAACACTCAAAACATTCGCACAAGCGTCATGTCCACATCTTTAGCTGCAAGCGACGTGTTCAAGCTCAGAAGGCACCAGTAACAGCCTGGCTATAAATCCGTCTCGACTTTCCTTTGAGTCTTGAGCGTTGCCCAGATCTCCAGGTCATTTCTAGCAGCACACAGTCATAAGGCCAGCCCACAGAAGGTTAAAGTACAAATTTAAGACAGCCCAACAGATTCACAACCAAGAACTTAGGATACTAGAACTTAAATTACAAATTTAGGACAGCCTGAAAAATTCACACTCAAGAACTAATGATACTAGAACTTAAAGTAAAAATTTAGGACAGTCTAAAAGATTCTGAATCACGAACTAAGGATTCTAGAGCTTGAAGTATAAATTTGAAACAGCCTAAAATATTCACAATCAAGAACTAAGGATACTGGAACTCAAAGTACGAATTTGAGACAGCCCAAAAGATTCACAATCAAGAATTAAGGATACTAGAACTTAAAGTACAAATTTAAGACAGCCTAAAAGATTCACAATCAAGAACTAAGGATACTAGAACTTAAAGTACAAATTTAAGACAGCCTAAAAGATTCACAATCAAGAACTAAGGGTACTAGAACTTAAAGTACAAATTTAAGACAGCCTAAAAGATTCACAATCAAGAACTAAGGATACTAGAACTTAGAGTACAAATCTGAGACGGCTCAAAAAACTCACAATCAAGAACTAAGGATACTAGAACTTAAAGTACAAATTTAAGACAGCCTAAAAGATTCACAATCAAGAACTAAGGATACTAGAACTTAAAGTACAAATTTAAGACAGCCTAAAAGATTCACAATCAAGAACTAAGGATACTAGAACTTAAAGTACAAATTTAAGACAGCCTAAAAGATTCACAATCAAGAACTAAGGATACTAGAACTTAAAGTACAAATTTAAGACAGCCTAAAAGATTCACAATCAAGAACTAAGGATACTAGAACTTAAAGTACAAATTTAAGACAAAAGCCTAAAAGATTCACAATCAAGAACTAAGGATACTAGAACTTAAAGTACAAATTTAGACAGCCTAAAAGATTCACAATCAGAACTAAGGATACTAGAAACTTAAAGTACAAATTTAAGACAGCCTAAAAGATTCACAATCAAGAACTAAGGATACTAGAACTTAAAGTACAAATTTAAGACAGCCTAAAAGATTCACAATCAAGAACTAAGGATACTAGAACTTAAAGTACAAATTTAAGACAGCCTAAAAGATTCACAATCAAGAACTAAGGATACTAGAACTTAGAGTACAAATCTGAGACGGCTCAAAAAACTCACAATCAAGAACTAAGGATATAAACATATAAAACACATCAGACAACATGACAGTTGCTAACCTCTACGCAAATGACCTCACCGCGATAACAGTGACATAAACCAGCTTTGTCAGTTTGTTGGTAATTGTTGTACCACACTCCTTTGTACCAGCAGTCGTTATCTGTTGTCGCTGGACAGAGACAAACAGCGTATTCAGATTCATCAACATCTTCTTCTCTTCCTATTTCCCTGCTTCTGGAGTCGTGGGCGTTTTATTCTTCTTATTTTTATTATTCATGTTGATCGGCTGTAAAGCAAGTTTTAGCTGTGCGTACACTTCAGGACTGTAGTCTTGTGTCAAAACTTGACTTTTACGTGCTCCTCCGTTTTACAAATCTGGTTTATTTGTGTGGAGAATATATTGTTCTCGCCTCTCAGGCAGAAGCACTGCTACTATAAAGGATACACTGCTAATTACTCGCCTTTTAAGACATGATTGCTAGCGGGCATTAAGTTTATTCTACTCCTTCCTCAGCTAGTTCCCTCCCCTACATATACACACACAAATGAGGCCTTAAAACCCATATAAGATGAGCAAGACACTAGCTTCTAATTCTGACTATTCTGGCGACCTTACCCAGGGTACATTAGGCTCGGCTGCGTTCAGTTGACTGGAGAGTTTGTGCAGGTAAAAAGAAATTAAAACTCACTAAACTAAAATATTTTTATTCAAATGTTAAACCAGTAATCTAGTATGAAGCAGTAACATGAAGAACAACTAAGGTAATTAATAATAACAATTATTGGTAAACTACAAACATTCATTAACATTAAATGGTGCCTCCGCAGAATGGAGGGAATTAGATGGTATGATAGAATTACTAATGTAGAACTTGAGAGAGAACTAAACAAGTTTTAGTGGACCAAAAGGTGAAGAAAAGACGCTGACTCTGGATGTGACATACACTGAGAGAACATAAGAACAAAATAACTAGAATGTCTTTATATTGAAACCCACAGGCGAAAACAAATTAGGGAAGAAAAAAAAACACTTGGAGAAGGGAGAGTGAAGTTAAAAAGATGGGGAGAAAATGCGGAGAGCTGCATGCAACAGCAAGGATAGAACAACTTGGCAATAGTTGTATGAGGGCCTATGCTTCATTAGGAGTTAGAAAGGCAGAAGAAGACGAAGAAAGAGTGGAGTTGAACTGATTGTAGAATCTACATCAAAGCACTCTGGACTTTCCCATAAGCACTATACTGCACACCATTTTACACAATGTTAGAATACTATTTTAGAGTGTGTCTGACATTATCTTTCCACCTTGCTCTTGGTCAAACTCATTCTTCACACCCCTCTACTCTTTTTATGTATGTAGTGTATGGTATAGCATTCTCGCTAGGTGGGCAAACCTTTTTATCAGTTTTCTATGCATTCGAATTGCTTAGCTTAAAATAGAAACTCTTGGATATCTCAAACTGAACAGAAATTGTTGACTAGGCTTCACAATCAAAAGTAATGAGGACATATTCTCTCTTACAGCTGATAACAAGACAGTTTATAATCCCATAATCATAAAGGACCAGGTGAATAAAGTCGGTTGTGGTAATGTTGAGGTAAGGTAAATATAATCAATAGTTTAGTTTCCTATGAACTAATTCTTTCTCTGTGTCCTCCTCCTTATATGCTTTCCCTTCTCCCTTTTTCTTAAATGTTCTATGTTCAGGTCCCTTGGGTTTATTTCATCATCTTATCATCAGTTCTCGTTATGCCTAGTGGCACATGAGGCTTCAGGGAGGACTTTCCATGCTTTCCTGTCCTGTGCAATCTTCAGTGCAGTTTTCCATGTCAAAGATGCCGCACTCAGGTCACTTTCCATCGTTCGTCTCCATATTGTTTTTGGGCGCCCCTGTTTTCTCTTTCCCTCTGGTCTCCATGTGAGAGCTGTTTTGGCAGGTATATCAGAAGTCATTCTCATAACGTGGCCAAGCCATTTCCATCTTCTCTTGGTAATCATACTGTCTAAAATTTCTTGGTTTGTGGCTTGAAGTAGTTTAGTGTTTGAGATTGTATCTGGCAGAAAAATTTTTGACTATGTGTGGTGGAAAGTGGAACAGCTTCTTGTGCATCCTTTTATGGTCATTCTCCAGCATTCCGCTCCATAAAGACTAGAACTGGCAAAATGATGCTCTTGTAGAGTCGGAGTTTCGTCTCCTTTGCAGTAATTGTATGGATTTCCAGATTTGCCTACATCCTTCCAAAAGCAGCTCTAGCTTTGGTTCAGACGTGACTGTATGTCTCTCCTCTGTCCCTCCCTAGTAGGGACACCACACCTGGCCAAGATATGTGAAATGTGACTTCTACATTTTCAAGTGATTGGTTATTTATGGTCACTGGTTTGTTGGTTTGGACTGTTTGTCCAAGGATCTTAGTTTTTCTTTGTATTTATTCTCAGTCCCACCATTTCTGCTGTGGCAGTTTAGTCTGTTACTTGTTCTCTTGTATATGTTCATGTTATGTGATAGGAGTGCTATATCATCAACCTGAAAAATCAAGGTCCTCAAGCATGGTGAAATGGAGTCCATCGTATGCCTCCTAATGTCCTGTCTACTGTGTTCTTTAGTATCCAATCAATCACAAGAATTTAATTTTTTTAGAAAAAAAAAATTGAAGAGGAGAGATGACATAACACACATCCCTGTCTTACACCCGTCTTTACTGGGGGAAAGATGTATTGTAATTTTTTGTATACTGCAGGAACAGTCTTTATAGAAGAGAGCAATTATGTTGTCTATTTTTTCTGGAATTCCATAATGTCGTAAAATTTTCCACAGACCGTCTCTATGGACGCTGTCAAAAAGCTTTCTCAAAGTCCACAAAATGAATATATATACTTCTCTGCCATTTCGTTGCATTGTTCTAAAATGTTACGCTATCTGGCGAAGATGTGCCTCAGTTGTTCCTCCTGCCCTTTTCTGAATCCTGCTTGCCCTCCACTCGATAGGCATTTATCTACTCCTTTTTTCATGCCGCATTATGATGATGTTTACAAAATATTTTGCTTGGTACTGAGAGTAGAGTAATTCCCTTCCAATTATTGCAGTCTGTTAACTCTTCTTTTTTGGGGGATTTTAACTATTGTTCCTTCAGTCCAGTCATCAGGCAACACTTCTTTTTTCCAAATATCCTTGAACAATGGTTCTAGAATGCTAGCAGTTGTGTTGGGATCTACTTGGGAAGTTCTGCTGGCAGTTCGTCTTTGCCTGGTGCTTTGTTGTTCTTTAAAGTGTGGATAGCTTTAAGGATTTCTTGTTTTGCTTGGTGGTTCAGTAATAATGTCCAATGTCCTGAGAGGCTGGTTGAATATCTGGGGGATTTTCAGGATCAGGTCTGTTCAAGAGGTCGGAGAAGTGTTTAGTCCACTGCATGTCTTGTTTTTGTTCTGTGGTGAGCAGTCTGCCTTGGTTATCTCTGATGAGTATGCTGTGATAATTGTTTCTGTTTCCGCAAATTTGCTGGGTAATTTCGTGTAGGGTTTGTAGATCATGTGCTTTAGCGGCATTTTCTGCTGTTTCTGCAAGATTTTCCATAGATCTTCTCTTGTCAGCTCTGGCACTTTTCTTGGTCATTTGATTTAGTTCGCTATATTCTAACATTAGTTTGTCTTTCTGACGTTCTGATTTAGTGTGATTTATGAGGCTCTTTATTCTTTTTCGCTTGACAATATAGTCCATGGTTTGACTACTTATCCATTCTTTGTGGTGTTGTTTCCTGGTTCCTAATATGTTATTGCTAGTTGATTTGTATGTTTCTTTGATCTGGTTCCATCTGTCTTGAATGCTGATTGTAGTTAGAGTTTCTGGGTCACTTGATAGGGTTTGAAATCTATTCTTGAGTTCTACTATAAATTTAGTGGCAATGTCTTTTTCTCTTAGAAGGTTAACATTGTAACGTGCTGTCTGTGTCTTAACTTGCGTGTAAACTTTTTTGAGTTTAAGTCGTAGTAGAGCAACTACAAGGTGATGATCACTTCTCACATCTGCTCCCCTTTTGACACGCACGTCGAGTAGGGACCCACGCCATTTTCTGTTTACCATGAAATGGTCGATCTGGTTTACATCTCTTCTGTTTGGGGATATCCATGTAAGCTTGTGTATATTTTTATGAGGAACACTATTTCCCCACAAGAATATTGCGTTTCTTTAGAGCAGATTATTCTACTTTCACCCATATCTGTAAATGGTCTTCTATTTCCAGCTGGTGATTGAAATTTTATCTGTCTGCTGTTTTCTTGGTCTGTTGGTCTGGTCTCATTCAAATTAGGTAGTTCAACAATGTAAAACAGTCATTTGGTACAGAAGTTAACTGCAGACAATAAACAGTATTTGATGAATTTATTGATTGTGGGCAATTATGGCCCTTGCCTTGAGGAGATTAGATCCAGAATTTCCTTAGCAAAAGAAAACATTTTTGCAAGCTGCGAAACAGCAATGAACAGCCGTTGGTTGCACGAGTTCTGCATCACTCAGCTTGATAGACTAAACACGGATAGAAAGAAGAGAATTTCACATTGACACATCGGCGTCTGACAGGGAAACCATTAATCAGAAGCCACGCTTGCATGTAACATCTATTGTCGCAGCTTACACATACACGAAGAATCTATTATTTCACACTTTAATTTCACTGTTTAATTATTTATTACAGATACAATACTTGGTCCCGTATAATAATTTTTAACAGTTTAAAAAACTGTATAACATGCCCTTTACCTACAGACACTGTTCCCTGCCCTCATTGTTCTAGATGCTTCTGGGTCCGAACTGAGTTTATAAGTCACCCCCGGACTCACACCGACTTTAAACTATACTTTCATGACCGATAGAGGAAAGATTGGCCCTCATCATTTGTGATGAACGAACAGTACACATAAACAAACGCCATTTTAACAGACAGTGTGACGTGTTACAGCTAGTAGTTGTTGGCGGTAACAGGCTACTTGAGCAGGCATTCACTAGACAGCCAAGCGACAAGAAGAAAAGTAGCACGTGAAACCAGATCATTGTAATCGTTACTTCTCTTCTTGTCTTTGCCCCTTACACGTGCGAATTTTTCACGCCACGCCACTGCCATAACCAAGATTTAAAACATGGGTACTCATATATCCGGTGCTCTTGAAGTATCTACAC